CCCCAGCCGGCTGGCCGGACGGCCCGGACGGCCGCTCAGGCGAGCTGAGCTGCCTGCTCTGGGGTGCTCTGCCCCAAATAAATATCAAAAATATACCGCGCGGGTGGTTGGATGGTGGTGGCGTGTGCGTGCGCCGGGCCCGCGATGACCCGCTTGCTTGACGAGCGCGCTTGATGGTGCTGGCAGGGGGGAGTGGGTGGGTGAGAAGAGACTGAGAGGGAGAGAGACGGTGGTCGTGGACCGCACTATGGGGCGCCAGCGCCGCCCAATCGCTCCCGTTCTATAATTACCGGTGGGCGGACTACTGGGCGGGGCGCGGGGTCCTCGCTCGCCCCCGGGACGGCTGCACTCCCGGGGGTGGTCAAGGAGGTAAACATCTCCCCCAGCCCGATTGTGTATAACGACCGCCTGTCGAGTCGTCGGCCTCCCCCGGCCTCCCCCGGCCCTCCCGGCCCTCTCGGCCCTCCCGCTTCCCCGTCGCGCCCCGCCCTCGTGCTCGCGCTGTAACACACTTGTTTGTTATTATTCCTCTCGATATTGTTTTCGGCGGAAGCAGGACCAACAGGACGTGGCGGCTCGCCATATCACGCCCCGCCGCGGTCACCCCCATCTACTGACGTCCGCGGAGCGCCCAGCGAGCCAGCCGAGCCGGCGCTCAGCTGTTTTAACCATCTTTGCCTCCGTCGCACACCCTCACCCCCCTCTGTCCCACCTCTCTCCCCTTCCCCACCCCCTTGGCTCCTCTTCCCTCTCCCCCCACACTCGTTCGTTTCCTCGCGTGATTCCCACGTAATATGCTTATGCTTAATGGATAACCATGGGGCGCCGCCTTCTCTGTCCGCACGGAATATTTTCAAACATTTTCGGAATGCAGTCGTGGAAATGTCGTGAAGGAATTAAAGATTCTGTTTAGAAAGTGGCTCCTCGTCGCGCGGGCGCGGTGTCGGGTCGCTGCGGAGAGGGTCAGGGGGCGGCGGCGGGAGGAGGCGTTGCGGGCCTCACGAGACGGTCACAAGTCACCGATCAGGCGACGGCCGCGGCGGCCACCGGACTGGTTAAGCATGCCAAGCAATTCACGATGGAAAAGTCCTCGGATTGAAATGGTTCCCGAAGGGCGTTTCGCGCCTAGAAAGGCTCGGGAGGGCCCAGGCGGCGGCGGCCCGGCCCATGGCCCGGCACGCCCAAGGGGGAAAAGGGGGGAAGAGGGAAAGGAGAAGAGGGGGGGGGGTATTTGAATAAACGGGAATGAGTTAGGGAGATGCGTCTCTGGAATATTTTGGATGAGGTAACACCTGGGGCGGCTGTACTGGCTACCTCGTCGGCCTCTGATGCCACCC